AGTTGTACTGTTATAACTAAAATGAACACACTTCCTGCTGACTACGAGAAAACTAACTAAATACATATATACGCCCACTACATCTGGTAAATGAAGTATATACCAATGATGCTGCAGTGTCGATTCTATGCATCGTTTACACATCATTGTGGCTTTTTATTTCCCGTCTAGTAACCATAACCATTATTACCCATAGCAATCTTTCCAGTAACTAAACTTTGTCAGTATATGTAACTTCAATGAAAAATACCAATACTCACTCAAAACTTCACGTTATTAAACACTATACTGGTATTGAATTAAAACTATGGTTTGTTTTAAAGAAAAGTAAAACTGACCGCTTGGAAACGTTTTCAAAATATTTGTTCGATTAGTTTAGAGGCAAATTTCAGGTAGGCTCTACAACAGGTTTCATACAAACCAACGTGCTTATCAAAGAAGAAACATTGCGGTGTTAACAGTCAAAACTGTCCACTTTAAGTAGAATGGAATTCTACACATTACTGAGTGAAAACTTAAATTAGGAAATATCACAATAAAAAAACGTTCAGAGGAAAGTAAACACGTTGGCCGTGATGCTAGGTTTGTATGTATTATTGCAATTTGCTACCCGCTGTCTGATGAACACGGATTTTAGCGATGCGAGTCCGTAAATTCCGCTGACCCGATTGAGAACGTAACGTTAAGAGTTGCGTCTTTCCGTTTTAGGGTAACTTTAAGATTAAATGAAATAGTTTTGTTTAAAGGAGTAGGTGTGAGTAGCTAAAGAATATGTTTGTGAATAAACGTCGAAGTTCTTAGTTCTAGATTACACGGTTGCACAGCATCTGAGAAAATAAATACACTTTCAAGTAAAACATGCTATAATTGTTCTGTCTCCAACCGTGTCCAGATGCTTTAGTTCTGCATTGACTGCAACCCCAGCTCCATTCTTAATGGAATATAAACATTCCACAAACCTTTGGGAGGAGTGACAAAAATATATTCGCTTTAAAAACAATCCATTTCATAAGTCCGTTTAAAATGTTAAGAAGTAACTTTGGTGATTGTTATTACATTGTGTGGATAAACAATACGTAAACGCGCGTGCATACCACAAACAAAATACGACTAGAAGAAACATGACGTGATACATTTTTACGTAAACAGATTTCTAAAAATGTATTTTATGTGCCATCACGAAAGTAATTTTATCCGATCTACAAATGGATGACACAATACCCTAAAAACTTTATAATGCGAGATATAAAATAATTCTAAACTTAATAGAGTATTGGAATAAGTTATTCTAGTAAAAACAATATACAAAAGTGTAACTTTTAATCAGTGGTTGCTTCATCTGAGGTAAAACTCTTTCAAGAATAAATTCGATGACGAGGAACCCACTTTGAGACTAATAATGGCTGGAGACGGCTTTAATGGGTAATTGAAGAAAAACTATTATAACTATCAGTGACATA